AAAGTATAAATTAAATTACCTACTAGCTTATCAGAAATTAAAAGTATAAATTAAATTACCTACTAGCTTATCAGAAATTAAAACTATAAATATCAACTGTAGCTATGAAATTGAGAAACAAGCAGCTCCATATACTGTTAATGCATTTAAAAATAGATTAAAATTAAAAGCTAAAAACTTTTCCAGAGAGTATGTTGGCTATGTATTGGTATTTTAAAGTGGACTTAGCAATGTCACGTCTAAGCATGTACTCTACAGAAATTACCAGATAAGTGCACAAAAATACAAGTATAATACATGCAAGGATGGTCATTAGAGAATTGTGTGTAGTCTGGAAACACTGAAAACAATCTAAATGCCCTTCACTAAATGCGTTGTTTAAATAGACTACACAGCCATTAGAAAAAATGTGATAGACCTCTATGTATTGATATCAAAAGATGTCCATGATATATTATTAGGTAAAAAATTCAGGTTTCAAAACAATATGTATAGTATGATTCTATTTTTAAAGGTAAGCACACATATATACACACATGTATTTGGGTGCTGACATATGCACAGACAAAAAAAGACTGGAAGGGCATATCTTAAAGTACTAAGAATGATATTATTTCTGGAGGGTGGGATTATGAGGGAAATTTTCCTTCTGAAATTAAGATCCAGAAAAGTTAACTAATTGAACAGTGCCCCTAGTTTTTCTACTTTACCATATTAAATCTTGAAAATTAAGTAAAAACACTTTAAACAGAAAAGTATTACTTAAGGAATTATCGTAATCTAACCAGTGAAAGCAATTAATACAAATTAACTTACTCTTGGGAGCCAATTTCTGACCACAGCTAAATAAAATCTCTCCTTCAGAGATGGGTCTATCTAAAGTTTCTGTTTCAGTGACAGTAACACTCAAGGTGCTCTCCAGTGTTGATGAATCATAATTTGGCATCTGTGGTGGGGAAGGGGCCTTGTTGCCGGCAGGAAAAGGCATAAAGGGAACTGGCTCTGGAGGTGCAGGCTGAGCAGGGAAATCTAGAACACTGCTAGGTTCTTCATCCTTAGCCACAGACATTACACTAAAAAGATAAAGACATATTTTGAACTTATTAGGTCACTAAAGGCCTATATTAATTTTGATATAAAAAGCAGATTCAAAGATACTATGTCTTCTTTAGCAAAGTATTTGTAGAATCTGGACTAATTAACAAGATTTATTTTTCTAAAATTATTTTCATGCTTTAATCATAGGTCATCTTGAAAGCTCTTCTAGCCATAAAATAGGAGAAATTGTTTTCTATTTTATTAACAGTATGATAGATATCTTTATTTTAATCTGTTTTAAATCTTTTAAGAAAAACATAAAGGTATAACTATATTTGATAAAAATTTTTAAAAAGTTAAAATTTATGAAATTTCTTTCTTCCAAAATATAAAGTAGTTTGTGGTTTACAAAGCTTTGTTTATCATTTCTATGTTTTAAATGGGTCATGTAAATCAAACTTAAGTTGGAATGTACAGTTACTACTGAATTATGTTCTTATTTACATAGCTGTTGGGTGAAGAAGTTCTTCTTGAAGAGTAAGGTTAGGGTTCTCTTCTTCCAGTGGCAGGTCTCCATCACCCCATGGCTTGGGAAGCTCTGGGCTTGAGACTTTCAATTTATCAATGGAAATTTCTGACAAAGTTGGAGTAAGAGCTGCTGCTGGAGGTGGTGTAGCAGCAGGAGTAACTGCTGGAGTAGCAATAAGTGTGATAGCAGGCGTATCATTTCCTAAAGATTTTTTTTAAAAAGACATAAAAGGTTAAGGTCAGTAAACAACTCCATAGGAAGGCAAGATATGTTGTTTCAGATATCCCTTAACATTTTGACATATAAATAACAGTAATAATAATTAATAATATTAACAATGATGATGGTGGTGGCCATTAATGGGAAAGTTCCTAAATTAATTTAGTAAAGCATTAAAAAAAAAATCTTGAAAAGACATCACTTTTAACACCATCATATACTTAAAGTGGTCTAGAGCATCTATTAGATTATATACTCTATGCAATGGTAACGAATTCCTTGGATTCCTTGTAAGAAAAAATTATTTATTAAAACCTAATAAGCAATAAGTATGTATATATTAATTTGTAAAGCATCTTATAAAACAATCATGAAATTTTATTTAGTTGCTATTTTATTTTAGTTGCTAAAATTAAAACTGAGTTATAGAAATAAGGTTTCTACCTTTTTCAGCAAATATTTCTTTTGTAGGAAAAGCCACATCATGATCTGAATCACAGGGAGAAGAATCTGGAGTTTTTACCAGCACACGCTCCTTAGGAGGTGATGAAGGTGAGTGAGGAGGCGTAGGCTGTGGGGTAGCCACTGGGGTACACACTCTCGCCTAAAATAAATGAATACAACAAGATAAATTGTGCTTATAACCACCCAAGTAAAAGTAATTTGAAATAATAATGTAAGCTCATTTATAGACTACATAGAACTTAAATGAATGGGGATGGGGAATGAAGCCTTAAGCACCCTGGCTCTTGAGTATCTACCTTTTTAGTCTAAGATTGGCCTGCAGAAAGCCTCAGGCAATTGAAGTAATTCTGCCTTTGAAGTAGGCCCCAAAGAAATCTAAGGCACTCTCTTTTAAGATATAGAGGAAGATTACACAGATAAAACTGAAGATCAAATCCAACTATAAACTTGAAGGACAGGCCATGCAACAGAAAAGAAGCATCTTAACTGACTGACAAGATATCAAAAATCAGCCTTTAAAAAATTTTTTAAAAGATCAGCTTTTTAACACAAAAGAACAGAGCATGTAAAAAGCAGTGGAAGTTTAAGAGAAAGTGACAAGTGGGTAGAGATGAAGACAAAAGGGGGAAAAAAAAGAAAAAAAAAGACAAAAGGGAAATGGAAAATACTGGTAAAGGAGTACGTAAACAATTTAATATTAATTTGTTGAATAGGTAATCATTCAAATGGGTCAAAATTCAAAAGGTACCAAAGGATGATAGTGAAAATTAAGCCTCCTCTCCTACTTATGTCCTTTCTACCTAGATGCTTTCCTAAAAATTATCAAATAATCTTGACTTAACTCATTTCATATGCATACAATCTATGGAATAAATTTCCAAAAGTGAGACTGCTCTGTTAAAGGGTTAATTGCATTTTGAATTTGAATAGATTTTGCCAAATTTACTGCTATAGGATTTTACTATTTTACACAACCACCAGAAGGTATGAGAATGCCCGATTTGCCAAGGTTTGCCAAACAATGGTGTTATCAAACTTTAAAGAGTTTTGCTGATATGATCAGCAAATATGGAATTTCAGTAATTTTTTTTCTTATTACCAGTGAGGTTGACCATCTTTTTACATGTATATGGGCAATTTGTACTTTTTGTGTGTGAACTGTTTGGTCCTGTCCTTTGCCCATTTTTAAAATACATTATTTGTCTTCTTCTCATTCTAAAAAATCTTTATATATTAGGGTGATTAGTCGTTATTCTATATCATGAGTTGCAAATTAATATGCAGTTTAAAACCATGAAGCATAATAGAAATTCCACAGCATTGCTTAATAATTAGCATATTCTTAGCCTTCATTTTAAAATGAAAGAAATCCATTTTTTTTTTCTTCTTGACTACATAAACTTACAGCATAAAAGCGTTGTTTTCAAATATAACCCTACTGGCTCATCAACATGAAAAGACGTGCAGGTGTTAGACAGTGAAGTATTCCAGGTCTCCTAGGGACGAAAGTGCATGCCTTGCCTTGGTTCAATTGCCCCACCTGGGAAGAAGGACAAGGATGGGCCCCAGGCCCCCATCTTGGTCCTGCCCCACCTTAATCCTGTCCCAAGCAATTGCCATATCTGGGGGAGGAGAGAACACCCTACGAATCTGCCAATCAGAACTTAGCACGACAACTGCAAAAGAATACAGAGGACTCTCTAGCCCACAGGCCAAGCAGCATAGGTACAACAGAGTCTTGAAAGTGACCTAGAACAAATGGCTTTCATATAACTCCCAACTGTCCAATCAAAGTGGTTCCATGGTGACATCTGAGCCATAAGGGAGGTCCCAATCCGGGCACTATAAAACAAGACCCAGACCATAACCAAGCCCTTCCTTTTGCTCTCACTTTGCTGCTACAGTGGGTCCAGTCGTTATCTGTGGTATATACATCACATTCTGTAAACCTATATCTTGCCCTTTTTCTATAATCCTATCTTTTTCTCCTCAATAAACCTCATTTTCGTGCTTGCCTTACTTTGGTGCGTTTGGTCATTCTTTGGCTACGAGTGTGTTTCAGACTCTGAAACTCAACACAGCTGTTCTTCTAGTATAGGTAATGGATAATGATGATGATAAACTATTAGTCTAATCATTGAGTATTTAACAAGTTCCAGGCACTACATTAATCCTTTTCATACATCATTTCATTTAATCTGCCACAAAACCTTGTATGATGGCTAAGAAGACACAGTATCATAAAGATGTCAATGCTTTCTAAATGAAACCAATCAAAATTGCATTAATTCCTATAAAAATCACAACAAGACTTTTTTATGGAACTTAAAAACTAATTTTACTAGGCCAGGCGTGGTGGCTCATGCCTGTAATCCTAGCATTCTGGGAGGCTGAGGTGGAAGGACCATTTGAGCTCAGGAGTTTGAGACCAGCCTGAGCAAGAGCAAGACCCCGTCTCTACTAAAAATAGAAAGAAATTAGCCAGACAACTAAAAATATACAGAAAAAATTAGCCGGGCATGGTGGCACATGCCTGTAGTCCCAGCTACTCAGAAGGCTGAGGCAGAAGGATTGCTTGAGCCCAGGAGTTTGAGGTTGCTGTGAGCTAGGCTAACGCCACGGCACTCTAGCCCAGGCGACAGAGTGAGACTCTGTCTCAAAAAAATTAAAAACCACTAATTTTACTGATTGAGACAGGGTCTTACTCTGGCACCTAGCTATGATCATGCCAGTGCAGTGGCATGATCATAGCTCACTCCAGCCTCTAACTCCTGAGCTTAGGCCATACTCCTGCTTCAGCTTCCTGGGTAGCTGGGATTGCAGGTGTGCACAACCACATCTAGCTAATTTTTTTTTTCTTTTTTTGCCATAGAGACGGGCATCTTTCTGTGTTGCTAAGGCTGGTCTCGAATCCTGGCCTTAAGCAATCCTCCTGCTTCAGCCTCCCAAAGTGCTGGTATTATAGCCTGGAGCTACTGCACCCAGCTAAAAAGATGTTTTTAAGTTTAAACTGAAAATGTACATATAATAGCCATAAATATATATAAATACATATTTGAGAGAGAAAAAGGCCAAGAAAAGCTACAACAATTCTGAAGATAAAGAACAATAACTTAGGGAAGGGCCGGGGGAGGGAGGGTTTGCCCTGCTAGATATTCAGTAAGCAGAAGTTGGTAAAGCCATGATCATTTAAACTCTAAGTATTCTATCTCTATTATATAGATAAGATTAAAGTCACAGAGCTTGGGATTCAAATTCAGGACTTACTAACTCCAAAGTCCAGGCTCTGAACAATTACATAAACTGCCTATCTACACTGGTTTTTCCATGTTTTCTCTTTCAATCACTCTCATGAAAATGCAGTATGCGGGCAGAAAATAAATCAAATAATTGGCATAGAGAAAACAATTAACTCTAACCATATCTGTACTGCATATATTACCAGTGAGCTAATAAAGCACAGATAAAAACTATATCAAATGTTTGGCACACTAATCACACTATACAACACCAATCTCTATGAAAGTCAAATACAGTGTATAACTTTAAGTTTATACATGAAATCAATCAGTTTAAATGTTTCACTTATATAAAATGATGTCTCAGTAATCTATAGGATCAGAAGTGACTACAGAGTTCTAAACAGCTGGTAATACAGAGTAAATTTTGGCTTTGTAGAATTTCATATTGCTATAATAGATTAGAAATTCTATTTAACATAATAAGCCTGATTAAATAAGCAATAATAAGCCTTTCTGAAATATATTTTCTTTCAAAGGTCAAAAATAGCAGTTTACATAATAACTAAAAAGCAATATGTGATCCTTGGCTATATCCTGAATTTTAAAAAAAGCTACAAAGGATATTTTTGGAACAACTAGGGAAATTTAAATATGGTCTCTATAATTATATCAATGTTATTAATAAATTTGGGGGGTATGATAATGGTACTTTAGTTATACAAGAAAGCATCTGGTTCTTAGGAGATACTGCTGATGTTTTTGAGGTCAAGTGTCATGATGTCTGCACCTTTCAAATTTTTTTTTAAAGGATATATAGCATAGCAGATATAAAGACTGTCGGAAAAAAAAACGTGCCAACGCTGGGTGCGGTGGCTCCTCATGTTTGTAATCCTAGTACTTTGGGAGGCTGAGGCAAGAGGACCACTTGAAATTAGGAGTTCAAGATCAGCCTGGGCAACATCGTGAGACCAGGTTTCAACAAAAGATTAAAAAAAAAAATTAGCCAGGCGTGGTAGTACACACCTCTAGGCCCAGCTACTCAGGAGGCTGAGGCAGGAGGATTGCTTAAGTCTAGGAGTTTGAGGCTGCAGTGAACTATGACTATGCCACTGTCCTCCAGCCTAGATGACAGAGAGAGACCCTGTCTCAAAAAAAAAGAAAGAAAGAAAAATGTGCCAGTATGTTATCAATTGCTAAATATAGGTAAAGAGCATACAGATGTTCATTATTGTATCATACTTTCATCTATTCTATAGATTTAAAAGTTTTTGAAATAAAATGCTGGGGGAAAATGTTAATTTAACCATACCAACAAGGAATAAAATTCTACCACAAACTGTGATCTTATGACAGGAAGTTTAAAATTTATCTATTTTACTGTTCTTTAATAAACATCTCAAAAAATTCCCCAGAACTTAAGTCATGAAAGGAGAGTCACTCCTACCGGCAAGTATGTTTCATTTGCTGAAACATCCCCAGCAACACTTGTAGCAACAGGACCTTGCTTCTTTGCTTCTCTGTCACCCAGCATGACAGCAATGGTCTCAGCAAGAGCTTCATTCACAAAATGGCTAATCATGTCTGAATTCACAGGAACCCCAGCATCAACAAAAAGCTGGAAGACACCACTGCTTGTTCCTTCCACTAAAAAAAAAAAGAATTTCAGAATAAGTGGGCAAGAACATGCTTGCAATTTAAACCTTAATTCCTAAAATTCTAGAGATGCCAATATATTTGTATATGGGGGTGAAAAGAGGAATAAAAATGAAAATACAAACATATCTACTTATTATGAAAAGGACTACAATGATAATTTGTATAACAAACATTTTCTCTAAATGAATAAAAAGGGAGAGGAAAACATACAAATGAAAATTTACTTATATGGTCTCCTCTCTACCACTACAGAATTTAGTGATAAAAAGAATTTGCACCCATATTATTAATAAATGTCCTCATCTGAAAACAATCCACACTTCCAAGAGCAAGGCAACAGGAAACTCTGTGATAGATCTTGAACAAAACACAAAGATGCAGTAAATATGAAGGCAAACCTTCCTTCCTTGTAGTTTCAGATATAGCAGTTATTAAAATTACGAGTGAATCCTCTTCAAACCTCTACAGCAGTTTAGGTGCTTATCTGATGCCTTATTGGTATATTAATTTTCCGAATGAGTTGTACTTTTCACTCACATGAATGTACGTAAAATTAAGCAAAACTTCCTTAAGAGACTTTGCTCAACTTAAAGTGGTGAAATTTATAAAGCTCTGTGTGGAAAATACGTAAACAATGATCTGTACAACCTGATAAAGACATTGCCTTTCCAAAGAGCACTCCTAGAGAATTACAACTATGGCAGCAATATCCAGAATTCCCTAAAGAGTGGGTACAGGTATCTTGGGATTACTTGTTGAGGTAATCCCAAATAGTAGCAATTTACTCTGGAGTTACTATAACACAGACTATCACAATATCAAATTTATATTCAACAATATATATTGACACATCTCCTTTTCAGTTTCCATAATTCATTGTTTTGGCATTACCAAAAATCAGAAAATCTCTGTTATAAGGCCCCGAAAACCTACCCAAACACTGGCAAAAACAAAAGCAAAAGCACACGTGCTCTTACAGAGAACAGGATCTATATTAATACCCAATTTGGAAATTTTAAGATTTCATCTAGGAAGACATCAATTTTCTTGTAACTTTCTTGGTAGTTTTATTCCTTTCTTCAAAAAATAAAAAAAATGACATGATTAAAGAAAACCTGGGGTAGTAACAGTGAAAGGAGGCATGCAAGCTACACTAAATAGGAAGAATTAACCAAATGTATCAATAAACTATATGGAGCCCAGGGATGTAGGCTGTGGCTGAGTGGGGACTGAGAAAGAGCAGGGAAAAGAAAACAGAACAGTCAACTCCAAGACTTTGGAGATTGGGTGCATATCATTAACAGAAATAGAGAACAAAGGAAGAGTGGGTTTGGGTAGAAAAATGAGATACATTTTGGACATGCTAACTGTGGGATACCAGTGGACCATTAAGTAGAATATCCATCAACAGGCAGAACGGCAAGTTGTCAGCTTAGATGCATGGCTTAGACGTCATCAACTGACACAGGATAACCAATGGCCAGAGGAAACTAGAAAAACGGATAAGAGGGCAGAGCATAGAAACTAGGGAAATAATTTTATCCAAGAAGCAGAAAATAAAATGAGAAAATAAAAATCTGAAGAAGTTTAAAAAAAAGATAGGAAGAAGAACAACAGAATGAATCCCAAGATGCCAAAACCATTAGAACATTTTAAGAATTAGAAGTGGTCAACAGTGCCCATCCTAGAGCCATCTAGTAAAATATGGATTTGAAAAAGGGAAGCGTCTTTGACAACCAATTGCTGTGAGAAAGGAGTTTCTTGAAGCAGAGGGCAGAAAGCCAACCCATAAAGACTAAAATGAAAGTGGGAAATGAGAAATTAAAGCAGTAAATATAGACTCTGATGTCTTGGGTTTGGACACTGAAAGGATAGTCTATGAGGGAGAAAGAGTAGGTTATCCTGAGACTAGAAAGAAGGAATAAAAATAGAAGTATAATGAAATATAGAAATGTAAAAGAAAGAACAAAGTCGGAGAACTTATGCTATCCAATTTCAAGACTCTATTAAATTACAGTAATCAAGAACTGTGGTATTAGTGTAAAGATAGACTTACAGATCAATGGGACAGGATAAAACACCCAGAAACAGACCCACACATATGTACAGCCAATTGATTTTCAACAAAGGTATTAAGGTAATTCAATGGAGAAAGGATAATAATCTATTCAAGAAATAGTGCTAGAACAATTGAATATCCATATACCAAAAAAAAAAAAAATCTTGATCCTTACTTCACACCATAAAATTTAACTCAAAATATACCACAGACTTAAATGTATAATATAAACCCACACATTTTCTAGAAGAAAATATAAAAAAAAATCTTAATAATTTGGGGTTAGCAAGGATTTCTTAAATAGTATGCCAAAAAAACCCATAAACTACAAAAGGAAAATTGATAAATTAGACTTCTTCAAAATCAATCTTTTTGCTTCAAAAAATAATGTTGAGAAAATACAAAGGCAAGACACAGAGTAGGAAAACACATTTGCAAAACATATTCCAATAAAGGATCTGTATCCCTAATAGATAAGGAATTTAAATATGAAGACACAAACTGCAGTTTAACAATGGGCAAAAGATTTATTAATAAAAAGCTACTGTAAATAAGCAAGACACAGATGGTAATAAGATGCAGATGGTGAATAAGCACGTGAAAAGTCACACAATGTCATTAGTCATCATTTGTAATTATACTACACAGTTAGTAGCATAGAGATATGAAAATAAAAATCATGAGATATCCCTAAAGATGCTCAAAATGGCTAGAATTAAAATATTGACAACACGAAGTGTTGGGGAGGATGTGGTGCAACTGGAACTCTCACACACTGTGTGGAACTCTCCACACTGTGGAATGCAAAACAGTATACTCACTTGGCAAATATTCAGCAGTTTCTTATGAAGTTAAACACTTACTTATCCTGACCCAAGTGAAATTAAAGTATGTGTCCAAGACTAGTTTGCAAATATTCATAGTAATTTTATTCATAATAGTAAAAAACTAAAAGATTATATATGTCCATCAACTGGTAAATGGATTAACAAAGTAAAATATATCCATACGGTATAATACTACTGTATGTAATAGCAAGATTGTAAAAACATTATGCTAAATAAAAGAAGCCGGCCAACAAAAGACTAAATATTTTATATTAATAATTATACATACATCAAATTCTAGAAAAGGTAAAAATACAGTGATAGAAAGCAGATCAGTGGTGGTTAAGGGCCAGTGGGAATGGGTGGGGGTTAGGAATTGACTGCAAAGTGGCATAAGGGAACTTTTGGGGATGATGGAAATTTTTTTTATATCACAACAGAGTGGCTAATATACAGCTATGTGTATTTGTCAAAACTCGTCAAACTGTACACTTAGAATTGATGAATTTTATGACAAGTAAACTATACCTCAAAAAAGCTGATGGAGAAGGAGGGGGGGGACAAGAAAAGGAGGAAGAGGAGAAGGAAAAGAAGAAAAAAAATAGGGAAGAGAAGGGAGAAGAGAGAGAGGAGGAAAAGAAGAAGAAGAATGGCATGGGCTCCATAAAGAAAGAGGCTCATTTAGCTATTCAATGAATACTTAAACTCTTACTGATGTCAGTCAAGGGCTAGGCACTAAAGGAGAAATATCCTTAAACCTAAGTAATTTATAAATATCTCTAGTGAATGAGACAGATATGTAAACCAACCATAATATAATCTGATAATTACCATAAAAATATACATACAAAGTACTATGGGAATAGAAATTTGGGGTGGAGAGCAGTTTAATAATCTGAAAGCTGCAATATGAAATAAGAGGGTGAAAGAGAACTAACCATCACTACAGAGAAGTACTGGGAAGTGAAATTGGAAGAGCCTATCTTTTGTCACTAGAAGACTTACTTCACCTCTGGAATACATAAAGCCACAATGAACTAAAGGCTTTGTCTTTTAATAACAACACAAAAAAGACTCCATTTCACTCACCAATATCAGAATTCAGTGGTTCACTGGCCTCACTGACTGAAACACTGACATTAGGTATGGCTTGTTGCTGGACTGGGAAGAAGCCAGAGATAATTCTTGACATTATTTCTTGTTCTACCCTGGGGGTGGAGGGGGGAATAAAATTTAAGATTCCTAAATTTCATTGAAATGTATAAAATGTCAGACATACCACCCTTAAAAATAACCTTTACCCAGGGACACAAACATTTATAAGTGAAACCAGTTACTCTGAAAGTTAAATCTGGAAAGAAGAAAAAAAATAAAATATATCTCCTAATAAGATAAACCACAGGAAACAGACTCTTCTTGTGGCAGATAGTTCATGAAATCAAATTAAAATCTTTCAGATTAGTCTAAGGAAAAGCTTAATGGAACTCCTAAATTCAAAATAAGACTTGGGCCAATGCTTATCTGGCATATCATGTACCTAAAATGTTTATTTCCACTCTGAGAGCACACATATAAAACCATGTAACATCAGAACTAGAAAAGAAGTCCAGCTGCCCTCACTTCAGGAAATAAATATATATGTAGAGATATAGGGTAGTTTTTCTTTTGAAAAGTAAAGAAAAAATTTATTTACAAGGTTATTTTCAGGAAGATAAAGGGGAACAGAATAGGAGGCTTCTTCTGGTACATTTCTTTAGAGCAGCTAATAGACTTCTTAAAAATTATTATTAATATTATACAAATAATAGATGTCCATTGCAGAAAATTTAGAAAATATATAAAAGTTTTTAAAAAAAATTTCGGAGGCTGAGCTGGGAGGATCACTTGAGGCCAGGAGTTTGAGACCAGGCTTAGCAACACAGCAAGACCCCCATCTCTATGGGAAAAAAAAAAATTAGGCAGGTGTGTTGGTGCACACCTGTAGTTCCAGCTACTCAAAAGGTTGGGGGAGGAGGATCACAAGAGCTATGATGATGCCACTGCACTCTAGCTCAGGCAACAGAAAGAGACTCTGCCTCAAAAAAAAAAAAAACATTGATAAGGCTTACCCATGATTCAGGGATAAATACAGTTAATTTGGCACGTATATTTTTTCAAACTTTTATCCTATACACATTTATTTTTGACTAAGTTCTTATAAACTGGGTTACACTGTTAGTATCCTGCTTCATTTATATACCAGTATCTCATTAGTATCTTTCAACATTCTTCTAAACCTAATTTCAATAACTGTATTAATATTCAGTCATTTTGTTCATTCCATAATTTACTTAAGGTTGCTCACAAGTAAAAACAGAGATAATACTAGAGCTCATTTCATATCCATATGTAATAACAAATTATAATTGTTATTGTAATATGTAACAACAATAACACATTACAACTTATTGTTGTAAGTATTTAACAAACTTAGGATAGTGCCTTTGTTGTAATGCTAGAAATTATATGGCCTAATAGAATAACCATAATTATTTTCTTAGGATAAATTTCTGGAAATGAATCACTAGATTAAAGAGCATGTACATTTTACAGCTTCTGGTACTTAATAATATTCTCCTTGTCATAGCAGGCAGCCTAAGTAAAAATATTCAAGGACAGAAATAATATTTCCAACAATTAGTTAAGCCCTCAGCATTACATCAAACACTTATCAGTGACTACAGCAAAGGAAGTTTAATAAACAAAAGAAGACAAGGGAGATTTTCAACCAAATTTTAATACTTTCCATTTATATTTGCTACTATGATTCCGTTCATACCAACATCACTCTAAACTCACCACTGAATTAAGCTATTTTCCAATGTTTCTTTTCTCTCAATTACTTTATCCAGAATATCAGCAGTGGGCTCAAAAGTAGAAGCAACTGGTGGAAATGGAGGACCATTATATTTTGTAGAAACAACTTTAACACCTCTGTTAAACTCCATGATTGGTTCAGAGTCTGGAATTTCATCACATTTTTCTTCTTCCTGATAATAGTAAAAAACAAAACTATTATATTATGTATTTATTCATTTACTGAGTATCAACTATACACACAGAACTTAGCTAGGTGAATTAATCAACACTTCTAAATGAACCAACAGCATTTCTAATTAGGTAGTATAATATTAATTATAATAAACACATTAGTCATACATATCGCATAGAAGAAACCTTAATTACACAATCGGTTTGTCTTTTTAAAACTCAATATTCATTTTAGACAGTTATAAAACAAACTAAAAAACTTAATTATTCCTGCATCAAACATTATTAACACTTCCTTCTATAAATTTATGAGCTTAATTTATTGTCATAAAAAAATTGATGCTTCCCAATATGATGTTTGCTCTTGCAGAACCTATAATTACATTTAATGATGCAGTTAGGGCATCTTACACATTATTTGCATCATCACATCATGATCAAGAGAATTATTTCTGAAATTTGTAAATTTTTTATTATGAAAAATGTCATACCTATTTAAAAGTAAACAAAATAGTGCTCATATAGTATATTTATTATTGCATTTTCCTGTTCCCCAGCTTCAATAATTATCAGCTCATGGTCAGCCTTGTGTCATCTAGATTGCCCTCCCAATCCACTTTCCCCTTCATATATCATTTTGAAGAAAATCACAGATATTATATCATTTTATCTATAAATAATCCAATACATATCTCAAAAACAGTTTGGTCTCTTTAAATACTATTAAATCAAATATTATTATATAATACCATTGAAAAATGAAGTCTACAACATATAAGTGGGGCAGAGCTAGGGAAGGAACCCTTGTCTTTGAGCTCTAAATCCTTTGCTATGTCTGTATCTGTTTCTTTCACTTGTACACTGAATAAACAGTTAACAAATATTAATATCTTTGCTAGGCATTAAGAATATAAAAATAAATAAGGTTCCTGCCTTTAAAATACTCATGTGGTGCTCACATGAGAAGATAAGCTTGTGAGCAAATAACATTAATATATTGCATACTCTGCATAGTGTAAAATTGGATTTCATTTTGTGATTAATAAAATGGGTTTTAGCTCTGAAAGAGACAACAAATGTCTTCTTTAAAGTCTGTAAACATAAAATTCAAGTAGTTTCAACGTTCAATGATCTTTTCTCCCATCCTTTATATTTTACTTTCTCTTATTTCTTCTATTCTACTATTTCTATCATTTCCATAACTCCTCCTTCCATATGAAATCTTCCTTTGGATTTTACACTCCTCACAACTTTTTTCTCAATATAAATTAACTGGTGACCTTGCCACTAATCCACAAATCGAAAGAGATAAATGGAACAAAATGAAGAAAGGACAGATTGGAGGGAAGGAAGGCAAAGAAAACGGGAAGAAGAAAGTAGGAAGCAGGAAAGAAAAGATCTAGGTGGGAAACAGCAGACAATCATTAAATTTCATGGAGGCAGACAGGTGACATAGATGAAAGACAATACTGTACTATAGAAAGACAATACTGTACTATAATTTTCTAAAATAAAAGTATATTTGACTCAAAAGTAAAAGCAAGTTTCTCAAAACACTGTAACATAATATTGATAGTAAAGATAGTCAAGCACCCAGAAAAATACTGGTAGAAAAATAATTTCTCATGGTTTGTAAGCTTTGTTACCTGTATGACATCAATTACTTCATCAAAGTTAGTTCCTGGAAACTTCACCTCCTCTTCATGTATCTTCATAATTTCTGGAGTCTAGGAAAGCATTTTCAGAATATGTTCCGAAATACGTTGTGCTTAACATATTTTAAATTTATACATAATTTATCATATTCATACCTTACAGCATAAGCTTGTAATTATGTGGCCCTACTTTTCTATCTTAGTATCCTATTCAGAGTTGATTTGATTAGTAAATGAAATCCAAGCTAGTCCCCAAGCCATTAGGTTGCCATTTCAATAGCTATAAAAAATTAAATATCAATTTTTCTGGCAAGGACTCTATTAACAATGCACCTTAAGTCAATTGATCAATAGATTGATATGATTTCTCTCCTAGAGCTAAGACAAAGAAAGTCTGTCTACACACATAGAAAGTGTTCCAGCCTGAGCAACATAGCAAGACCCCGTCTCTACAAAAAATTTTTAAAAATTAGCCAGCCTTGGTGGCATGCGCCTGTGGTCCCAGTTACTTAGGAGGCTGAGGCAAGAGGATCGCTTGAGCCTAGGAGATGGAGGTTGCAGTGAGCTATGATGATGCCACTGCACTCTAGCCCAGGCAATAGAATGAGACCCTGTCTCCAAAAAAAAAAAAAAAGTGTTTATATATGTAGATACATATAAATGTGTATATATATGAACCCACAAAAAGACAGATACAGAATCAAATAATTTAGAAAAATAAACAAATTAGTCATTTTACAAAATTAACCTCTAGGTCTTACTATATAGTCACTATAAATCTAGCCACAGAAAACTACGATAGCTTCTTACTGACAGCAGAATGATAATCCAAAATGTATTACTTGTTCTAAGTTTCAATAAACTTCTGGTAAAACAAATTACCGATGAAAAAATTAAATTAGGCACAAATGCCATTTAGGGTCAGTTCTATTTTATTAGTTGTGATCATAAGAGATTGCTGGTGTTCTTGCTTTCTCTTTAAAACTGTATCCTCCAATGACCAAAATTTGCTTACAATAGATGAAACTTGGGATAAGTCACAGTGCTAATTTGCTGTTCAGTAAAGCTATAACTTCATTATTCAGAAGCAAATAAATACTAGGAAGAAATATATATTTTTGCATCATGTCAACAGCATGACAAAGTAACATGTCAAAATATGAACTCCAGGCGTCAACATAGAATTTGCATTCAGGAAATCTATCATTCCCATGTAAATCAAAGATTTTTCACCAAAGAGATAGAAATTCTTTCTTCAAATATGAAAGTAGCACAACTTAAGTCACCAAAAAGTTACACTAAGAATTATCACTTTCTGAAAATTTATAAATGCAAGGATCTGAAACAAACTTTTTTTTCAAGTTCATAAACAATTTGAGATTCACTTTGAATCTTTTCCTCAAAATCTAAATTATTACTATAGATTATGATTATGATAGAAAACTTTGAATGGAATAACATTAGTTAAAATCTACAGTCACACATTACTCAAAACAATATGATAAAATTCTGAAATATACCTGTATCCAGGTTTGCAGAGGAGGAAGAGATGCTGCTTTGGGACTAGGCAGAGGTGGGTCGACATCAGCACTTGCATTTGAAATGCTGTCAATATCTACACTGGGCAATACCTGAAACAACACAACATCCAGCTTTCTGTTTTTCACTTTGACTCAAATATTTATGTGTGTATGTATATATTTATATAAATATATAAAACAAAATATGCATGTCTTTTAAGTTTTTACTGTGAAGTCACTGGATAACAAAGTTTTTAAATTACGAAAGCAAATTTTACAACATATGGAAAATAAAAGGGGAAACATACAAAATCCTATTATCTTTGCACTATTCCCTTTGTCTTTTACCATCCACTTATGTATGCATAGCTAAACTTTTTTTTTTTTGAGACAGAGTCTCGCTCTGTTGCCCAGGCTAGAGTGCCGTGGCGTCAGCCTAGCTCACAGCAACCTCAAACTCCTGGGCTCAAGCGATCCTCCTGCCTCAGCCTCCCGAGTAGCTG